CGGGGGCGGCGGCGGGGCCGGGACTGCCTTGCTCTCGCCTCCGCGCCCCGTCCTTGAGGCCGTTCCCCGCCGTGCTCCCGGCCCTGAGGGGGGGAAGGCGGCGTGAGGCCGGGCCGAGCGCCACGGCTGAGGAGAAGCGCGGGGCGGCCGCCTGCGCTGCCCTCCACTCCCCGCGGCCTGCCGGTCCCCGTCTTCCTAGCGCGGGCCGGGCCCCGCGGGTGCGCTGTCACACGGCGGGAAGCGCGAGAGCTTGTTCTTAAGCGTCGCCCCCGCGCGTAGGGGTGCCCACGCGAGCCTTACGTGGGCTTGAGTGCTGAGCCTCTTACAGCTGTGCGAGAGTGACGCGTTACGCTGCGCTTAATGCTGTGAAGTTGGACTTCGCGTGACCCAGACCCTGCTGGTTTTTTGTCTTGTTTTAGTTCCTCTGCGTGCTGAAAAAATTTACCTTTCTGACAGAATGGTGGTTTATAAAGATAATCACCATCTTAAGTAATTTGTGGGGGCGATTACCAAATCAGAGGCTATCTTTCAGATTTCAGCGAGCTAGATGAGCGCAGGTGTCCTGGACTGTGTGAGAGCAGGACCTTCCACTTTCGACGGGGTTTATCGCCCACCGCTGCATGATGAAAGCTTGGCAATGGTACGGCCGATTGACAAATGCTGCCTGAACATACCGTCCTACTGGCGTCCCGGTGCCCTGCTCTTCGGCCTTACGCAACAGCTCTCTGAAGCTGAGGGCTAGTTTCAGCTTCATCATCAACTTTCAGGTCAGTTAGCTTCATATTTGTACACTGACGTTTGGTAGCAGGAGTCAGAGCAAGTTTAACATTGGAAGCTCAGTTTTGCAGCTTCTCACAAGAGGCACTAGCCTACTTTTTGAGGTCTTACCACCAGGTCTAATATCCTGCGTTTTGCACAAAATTCCTCGAATCTTAATTGTAGAAGCTGCTTCTATTAGGAGCACAAGATGGAAATTTGATGCTCCTTGTTATTGACGAGGGAAGATGAGTGGTGGTTGTCAGTCTGCCACAGTTCAGCTCAACATAAGGATAAATAAGCTAATTTTCACTAATGTTAAGAAATTTAGCACTAGGGAGAAAGTTATTTAATATGTTCTTCTAAGGCTGAATCAGTAGCTGGGAGAAAATCTCATGGATTTATTAGCGTTGAGGAGCATGGATTCTGCCATAGAACTATGTTGCATGATACACACCGGCCAGGAAACCAACGCAATCATGTTATTTTGAGTAGCGGTTGATTTGCATGTCTAAGCTTCATTTTGCAGCAGGTGTGGATAGTGTGTTTTGTCATAATCGTTACAGATTTTTGAGTTTTGGTTTGTTTTTTTTGTTTGTTTGGGGTTTTTTTTACTAACATGTAGGGTCACATACGATGAAATCATGTGTTTGTGTCTGTCTTTCCCCTGTAGCATGAGGGAGAAAATTGCCATTTCTAAAATGGCGAGTCCATTTGTTTAAAAAAAAACCCACCAACCAACAACCATCTAAGGTATAAAAATACAAGATGTCTACTGTCCTCATCACGAAAAAAGAAATAGTCTTCCATCAAAGGGGGGGGTAATGAAGTAGCAAGTTCTTTTAAGTCATCTGCCAGGAGACACATTTTCCCAGGGTCTTCAAGCGATCATCCTGCTGAGTCAAAAACACTGATGTCCAAACATGTTGGTGACAAAATTTCTTTCTGGCAAGTAAAATAAAAATAATTGCTCCCCTTACTTCTGGTGGGACAGAAGAGAGGACAATGAAGTAGGAATTTCCCAGTAAACTCAGAAAGCTAGTCGGTAGTTACACCTAGTCTGTAAGTGTGAATTGTTTGTGCTCTAAATAGATGCATTGCGATAGGTATAATTGATACAGGAACTGAAGTTACCTTGAAAAGACCTGGCACACTGGGCTGCTGAGAATCCAAGAGTGTTTGGACTGCAAGAGCAGTGACAGATCTGTTTAAGGTAAGGGTCATCAGCCTTCTCCCAGGTTCAGATCTCCTCACAGTTGTGTTTCTGCAAAAATATGTCCGGATCTAACTAGGAAGATTAAAATGAGTAGAGAATTATGGGAATTTTCCTTCGCTTCCCTTCTTTTTAATGGTCGCCTTGTGGGAAAGAGCTGATGGAGGGAATGCCTTTTGCACCCAATTCATTTACAACAGAGCCAACAGCATCAAAATGAAACTGAGGGTTCTGCTAGCACTTCTGAGAAACGCCAATTCCTGTCTATAATTTCATTTTCTTTCTTCCCAAAGAAGAAACTAATTGCAGGAAAAGGAAGGGAGTGGAGGAAGTTTACAGGTCAGGAGACTGACAAGGTCTATAGAGAAAATGTCTGACCCCTGTAAGAAAAAAAACATTCCATTATTTAGACTTGACATAGGCATTAAGCTACCAAAATAAGGCAGGCTTAGACGTACCATGGGCAGAAATGTAGGTGTCCAGGAACCTTTACTGTGGAAAGCTTTGAGGGGGATTCAGAGGATCTAAAATTTGGGCTTTGGGGCCCACAAGGGTATTTAAATACTTAAACTCACTTTCATTGCAACTGGGAGGTTGTTATGAGAACCAGGGGTTGGTAAGTGGTTATGCTGGGCAGAACAAAAAGATGCGCCTTTGTCTTTTTTTATTTCTTGCCCCTCTTCTGTTTCACAGTTTGTTAGCGGTGCTCTTTACCGATTTGCAGGTGTTCAGAGGGGCAATGAATTTTCCCAGGAAAAAAAGGTTAATTAAACTTACAAATAATTACACATACGTTAATATGCGTTTATGCTTTACCGCATTATTTTGTAGCATTTGGATTACTTTATGTGACTAGAAGTTAAAGGTTGCAAGATAGCAGGCATTAATTACTGCATCATGTGCTATTTCTTGAAAAGAGACAAGATTGCTATCTTAAGTTTGTAAGAAAGCACATGAGATTTTAAAGCAGGCAAAAGTATTACTGATCAATAGCGAAGGTTGGCAGTGGAGAATGGAGCCCTCATTTTGCATTTCAGTTCTTTTACTTTGAGATATAGACCTTGGAGCTAGAGTCACTGAAATCTTAATTTTTCTCAGGAACTCAAGTGCTGGACTACCCATGAAAATTAATGATCTCATTTGTCTCTCCAACCATGAAGCAGAAATAATAGCTTTTTTTCACTCCTTTCTAATGTTGTGAGGCTAGTTAACGCAGTCTGTATACTTTTTGAAGAGGAATGCAATACCATTTTGTAAACGAAAATGAAACTTCCTAGGCCTTCTCTTATTGTGTCTATTCTGTTGTGTTTATCTTTGATAGTATTAATATGAAGATCTTCTATTTCCAAAACTGTGTGGAAAGATTTAGTGTTAAAATGAGTATCATAGCAAGGTTGGGTGTTGATTTGGAATATTGGCTACTCTCAGTTAATAAATAAAGTATGCTCAACAAAACCAGAATCAAAAGCAGTGATGAGTACAGGATATATTAAAATTGAGTCAGAAACAGAAATTGATACTGATTTGACTCTGTAATTGCTTTAGGACAGATGAAGAGAAAATGGGAAGAAAGACTGAATAAAGTTGAAGAACGAGCGTCTTACTATGAAAGAAACCCTCTTCCTCCAGTTTATAGACCAAAACTGTCCAAACCCTTTCAGCCATCCTCTGTTTGGAAAATATTTTGTCGGCAGGCTGAAGCTTTCAATTATGTAAAAATCTGCAAAGAGGTAAATTGTTTGTTAGGTGAATGCCTCTACTCTTCAGGTACTTTCCAGGTTGGACTTCACTTAAAAGCTTGGTTGACAGTAAAGTCTTTATCAGATTGCAAGATGGTTTTTTCCTTTCTTTTTTTTTTCCTTCTCTCCAATCCTGAAACAGCAAGTTTTGTTTTGTTTTGTTTTCTTTCTTTGTAGGAGATCATGGTACACTGGAGGTAGTTCTAAGAAGTACTAATTCTAACATACGAATTGATATGTGGTGTTAACCTCTAACAGTAAAAGTGCTTTTTGGTAACATTGTAGTGATAGATTTGTTCCTTCTGAAGATAAGGAAGCTGCCAATGTGGCAGGAGAATGGGAAGGTAGTGAGAGCTGAGTAGGAAGAAAGAGGAGGAAAAAACTGAGGAAGAAGAAGAGATAAAGAGGAGGCAGAGACACAATAAAAACAATACAGCTCTCCAATGGCATCAGAGTAGCAAGTTCGGATGATAATAAGTGATGAGCCAAATAAATGTTATGCAAAATGTATTCTCTGTTTTCAGTTCTCTGCATTTAATACTTCTCAAATTGATTGCTGCTTTTAAAGAAAGTACCAGAGTTTCTTCCCACCGTTTTAGGTGTTTAAGTAATCCTGACAGTCTCTGTTCCAAAATGCACTCTCACTGGCTTGGCAGTGTTTTTTTTTTTTGTTCGTTTTCTTTTCAGATTTCCAGTTTTGGATTTAAATAATATAGAGTGTTGTCCTGGTTTCGGCTGGGATAGCTTCCAGCTACTAGGAAGAAAATTAACTCTATCCCAGCCAAAACCAGAACAAGTGTAAAGAATATTTGCTATAAAGCCATATGCTGCCATCAAATCCATAAAACTGTTCCTTTCGGGACATTGTTCCTCCTCCTGTTAGATGCACTTGCCACGGATCAGAAAAAAGACGACTTTACAGAGAAAACAGAATTTACATTAATGCACAGCAAAGGAAAGCTTCAAATTTTCACTCATGTAACTGAAATCAGAATGATGTTCTTAACTAAAAACAGATGCTACTTGGGTTGAAAAAGCATGAGTGATCTGCTTATAGTTTTCTAATATTTACTAACCTTTGACCAAGGAAATTAATGTCAAATAGAAACTTCTGAAGACTTTAACTGGTTCTTTGAATAATAAAAAAAAAAAATGTTTTTATTTTAAAAGGATGTTCACGTATTTGCCTTGGAAAAGAACGCACAAAGTGGACAGAGGTTTTACCTTGTGACAACATATAAAGAGCTTTGGTTTTATTACACGTGAGTATTTGAAAAGGTACCCTATTTGTTACTGTAAGATAGTAATATACTGGATATACTGTTATCTAGTAATAGCTGTTATTGGATAGCTATCCAGTAGCCATCTGCTGCTCTGACTAGCACAGAACTGTAATGGGTGGCCTGCGGTTTGATCTTGGCCATGGGGAAAATCTTCATAAGGACAAACCAATCTAATCTATAGTGGGTTTCAACTTTCTTTTTAGTTGCAGACTGCCATTATTTCCTGTGAATTAAGGACCCCGTCTACGGAACTTAAATCTAATCGCAGTAGATTTGCTTTCGCTGTCAGCTTTCCTCAGGGGATCATACCAACACATGACACAAACATATTTCTATGATTAGTCATATATCAGCTTAAATGGGCATTAATATAAACGTCTGGTTACCGATTTATGGCTTTGTATTTGCGTGATGTCGTTTCAAGTACTGACAATTTGATCATGCGCTGAACTTTTTTTCCCAATTTTTTGTTCTACAATAAAACATTTGGTTATGAAGTAAAAGAAATCTAAGAGTCAGTTTTTATATAAAAAGTAAACTTGATTTTTTTTTCTCAATTTGAAAATGAGATTAACTTTTAGTTGGAAAAAAATCTGTGTAATCTCATTTTTAGTGCTTAAGACATATGAGTGGTAACTTAATAAGTTTTCTACTGTAGTTTCCATCATTCCTTAAATTTTCAAGAGCATTTCTGTTGACAGTATTTATTGTAAGACTTGGGGGGGATGGGAAGGAGAATACTTTACAAACTTAAATTCTAGGCCAGACAAATATCTGTGTTGATATTTGATGCTGAAGTTAGTTACAAATTTTTCAAAGCGTTATAGGGCTGCTACTTTTTTAATATGGGTGATTGAAAAATAAAAGAATATTTAGGACTTGTGGGATCCTTGTTTGCAACTGGTAAGTATGTATAATGTTTATCATGAGAGGTTGTGATTTTTGTTTTTCCTTAGGAAAGGTTATAAAACAAGTCTTATGCATTGCTATGAAGTAATTCCTGAAAAAGATGCTTGCAAACTTTATTTTGATTTGGAGTTCTACAAACCAGCAAATCCTGGTGCAGATGGCAAGAGTATGGTTGCAAAGTTAATTGAGGTAAACTGAAGCAAAGCCATGTTGTAGATTAATATGAATTTGTTGTTGATTTAATATGAAACCAAAGTATTTACCACTTTATCTTGATTATTCTGTAGTAAAAAGAAAAAGAATTGTAGACCTAGTGGTTATTTTTAATGAAGTAAAAAGTACTGTTATAATTAAAGCAAAGGTTCTCTCCTTTAAGTGAAAGGAAAAAATAGAGAATGGTGGTTGCTGAAATGCTTGTATTCACTGTAGGTTTACTGATATAAGTTTGCTTTTGCCGATTGCTCTGTGTGCTCTGCCACTTCAAAGCTGTAAAACTGAAGGAGTGTTTAGGTATGCTTTAGTGTAGCATCAATAGAAGTTCCATTCAGATATTCCTCAGTTCATTTCCTTTGCCAGCTGGTGCAGTTGTATATCAAGGCTCCGATAAACCCCTCCTGATTTTAGGTATCTTCAGATGGCAGTTCATTATAGTTGAGTTAAATGATAATGTGGAGGACATCAGGTGACTGCACTCATCTATTCGGTACCTAAAGTTAAATATCTTTGTTAATTATCAATTTTATTAAATAGTGCAAATTTCCGTTCTGTTGCAAATTTGGCTGGAAAATGTGCTCCACTGCAAATTCAATATGACAGAGGTGGAAAATAAAGAAGGTTTTTAGAAGAATATCTTCTGTTCCAATAAAGACCTCTTTGTGAGTGGCGCTTTATTTGTGAGACTTCTGATGCTTACGTGTTCCTAGCTAGAAAGGAAAGAAAGAAGATGATTGAGGTTGTTCCTTTGTAAAGAACCCTTCATTGGTACAGAATCGGGAGGGGTTTACTCCATTGTGGATAAATTCTGAAATCTAGAGATTCCTCAGGTTAAGAAGAAAACTTTGGATTTGCTGGGTGGGGGATCTGAGATGCTAAAATCCTAAGCTTCCAGACCCTTAGGTTCTGAGCCCCAGTCTTAAACATGCGTAATCACAAGCTTAGCTTATAGAAGGTTTTTAGATCTGTTTTAGAGCCAGACATCTTAAGTTTTCCGCTTAGTTAGTGTTCATTGGGTCATACCAATGAATTAGCTAAATCATAACAGTGAATTAGCATACCGAGCCTTTGTATCATGCTAGCCTCTATCTTCCATTCTAGATAAGCGTGCATTACAGACATTGTCACTGTGGGTGTGAACTGCTTTGTGGTGGAAAAAAGCAGAAGATGATAAAGACGCTAAATTAGACTTTAACATGAAAAACTGAAAATCTGCTCAACTTATCACTGTTAATATATTCAGTGACTTGCTTATACACTCTATGTCAAATTTGGTTAAAATTTGTTACGAGTTAGCTTGAATTAAATTAATTGTATGCTCAAAATGAGAAAAAAACTTGAAAAAAGATGTAGCATCTGCATTTGTGTTAGGTTTTATAGATAACACTATTAAAATGCTAGAGAAAGTAGTCTAATGAATGTTTATCATTTCAGCTTGTCAGCCAAAAATTAAAAGAACTTTATGATGTAAATTGTTCAGCCAAAGATGTCTTGAATTTAGATTCCAGTACTGATGAAAAATTTAGTCGACACTTAATATTTCTACCCCAAAAGACTGTATTTAAGGATAATATCAATGTTGGTAAGTATGTTCTTTTCTCTTACACCTAGATATAAAAGGTGAGGTTTTGACTTTGTACAGTACCATCTCACATTTGAATACTTATTTTAGTGGAATTATATGTGGAAACAAATACGTATTACCAGCAGAAATGACTACCTATTTCTATTTCATTAAGCCTCATTATTTCTCAACTCATCTTCTACTTCCTTTTTCTATAATTAGAATTTGTGTTTGCAAAAATGTAACTTTTTTTTGTGCCTGTATGTTTCATTTACGAAACTATTGGCAAGACTGGCTTTTGGCTTGAAAATTGTTTTACAGCGTGACTATGACTCCTCAATTTCCAGGTTAATATGTCTGTCTTAACAATTAAAGCTACAATTGTTGGCTATAAAGACAGTTGGTTTGTGCTCAGCACAGGGTCAGAAAGGCAGGACAAAGATGGTTTCAAGCCACCTGTGCATAAAGACGATTAAGAGAAAGCTGAAAGCAATTTTACTTGTTGATGTAAGTTGGGATTTCATGGGATATGGAAACTCCAACACAAAGAACTGCCAGTTCAGGGTTGTCTTGACTCCATTTTAAAAATACGTATACTACTACCTCCTCACTTCACAGAAGTATTTTGAACATACTTTTAAAATACTGATTGTGAAGCCCTGAGGTGCTAGTGGTGAGCATTGAGAAAAGTTAATGTTGAAATTCATAATTTATTCCGCTTGTATGTATATTCTGTATGGTGTGCAGTAAAGCAGGCTTATCGACATACATTGAACAATGAGGGCGCAATAGAATATCAGCTGAGTTTCATCAGAGTGCAGCAGGAACTGACGGAAAACAGCTTGCCCAGGGGTGGAATTAAAGTCTGTATCAACCTACAAATGCAGAAGTTTGGGTTATTTAACATTGCACCTGCAGCCTTGGTTTTGTCATTTCTTAATATTTGAGTGTTTGATTTTGTAATCTTTGTTCCTTATTGTGTTTGTTTCAAGCAAACAAACGGTGAGGGAGCGGAAGCAGAAATGCTGTTATGTAGTACCATATTAATAATCTCATGGGTTATTAGAAGGGATGAAATATAGATTTGTGACATTTAGCTCTACCGTTCGTGTTCAGAAGGAACTGTGACAACAGCAGGAGGATTACGTGTATCGGAGAGAATGAAATTACGCGCTTTGTGACTGGGTTTCCACTGGCAGTACAATAGGAAGAGCTGAGAGTGTTGGGATCATAATTTGGGTCCCACTCAGGTTGCGGCTTTTATTCTGCTGTCTGCTTGGTCACAATCTGTCTGACTGTCTTCATGCCCAGTCTTTCTTTTCCTTTCTCACCCTTACCTCTTTTTCTAGCTCTGCACCTTCTCTCATTCCAGCCTTGAGTAAAGCTTATACTATATGTCTTCTTTTTTTATACCTTCTGTGTTTTTTAAGTAGCTTCTTACTGTGCACTGTGTATGTCCTAGCAGGGGATTGTAGAGAGCACAGGGAAGATGGGCTCTTTGCTTTTAGTACTCAATGACAGCACAGTGATGCTGTCATTAATGAGACAGTGCTGGGCTATTTTCTAGCCCAGTACAGCATTAGAGAAAATAATCTTGTCCTTTTGAATTGTCTAGTTATTTCATGGGCAGAACACATGTACTGTTGGATCAAAGTTGTACAGGGTTGGCAAATGTTCTGTGTTGCTCTGAGGAATCGTCTATGAAAGGTCTTGTCAGCATGAACAGCTGGAGGAGTGGAGCAGCCTGTAAGGAGAGGCTGGATCTTGTAGGCCTGCGTGCATGTACAACTTTTTTTTTTCCCCAAAGTATTTTTAATATACGCACGTGGTGCATGGCCTAAGCATCACTTCAGGCCAAATTTCAGATCCTTACTCCAACACAGAGGCTGCAGGATTTCTCAGAACCATTTTTTTCAGCTTTCTTTGCCATTAAAAAATATATTTCTCATTCTTGGGAGCAGTGAATCTGTGTCCCTCAACCTTTTGAGGAGTAGCTCGCATGGCAAGCTAAGCAGACTGTCGAAGTTATAAGCAAATGCTTATAGTATTGGCTGCCAGCCCCAAGCGTGACACAGCAGTTATTTCTTACGGGACGCTGTGGTAACAGCTACAAACCCCAAAGACTTAAATGGGATCACTGCAATTTTTAGTTCAAAAGAATGCTCTTTAACTCCTCTGCCACTATGAAACTCTTAGGAAATACATGGATGATAAATAGTTTGGTATGACAGCAATTCTAGCCCGTGATCTTGATGACTACATTACATTAGTCAGTTCTTGCAGTAGAAGCTTTGACTGTTTATTCTAGTCCATTAGTTGTGTTCTGCGTCTCTACCGTGATGTGAATGTGACGTGTTTACCGTCAGACTTAAAATATATTTAGAGATTGTGTATTTGTGTTCCGCCTTTGCCTCTTCAAAAAGATGTTGAAGCTGCAGTAAAAATTGATTTTTTTTTTTTTAAATTGAGAGATGTAAATGTCAGTGTTACAGTCATGCATGTTACCAATAATATTGCACTCTAGACTTTTCATTAATGCCTTTTAGTAATGATGTGCTTGACAAACCTGGCTTAAAGTGTATTAGCTTTGTACTTTGTGCAAAATATTCTGCTGTAGGACATAACTGAAAATGCGGATAACTTCATAAAGTAATTTCACAGAATCTGTAGGAAAATATATATATTGAGGTGACAGAAAGATTTTGTCGAATATTAAACTTAAAAGGGTCAATATATTTTTCAGACACATTCAAGTGTTGTCTTTTTTTTTTAAAATTCATCATTGTGGTGTTCTTTCTAATAAAAATTACTTTAAGATGAGTTAGTGGTATTTATGTGGGATAAACTAGAATATGAACTTGGATTATATTATTTCATAAGCATTTTATGTCAGGAGTCATGCACAAAGTGCATGGTCTTAAAATTAAATATGATTAAAAACTTTTAGTATGTAATATTTGGAATTTGTTACTAGTTAGAATTAAAATACAGGGAACTGAGTTGATAGCTCATGTAAGAAAGCACAGGAGATCATGTAGGTCCGCAGGAAAGCTGTGGAGACCAATGAATTTACATTGATCTACACAGCTGACAAATCCCAAATATAAAAATGCAAAATACAGTCAAGAATCAAAAGTGTGAAATGCAGGGTTTAGTTCCCACATCTGACCAGTTGGAAGAAACGGGAAGAGAGAAAACAAAGGTGTGTGTGAATGATAAAGAACTAACTCCCCAAATAATCTTTCCCTGACGGAACCCTTGCTATTCTGACACCAGAGTGATCGTTACTTAATTACACACACAAAAAAAGGAAGTGGTCAACCAGGACTTTTAAAGATACTTTAACTTTTGTGGTAATTGAAATAAACTTCAGTTCTGAGTTAGGTACCTTTTCTCCCTGAACGGGAGATCCGAGTAACGATTGTTACAAACTTAAGAAATCCTGCGTGCATATTTGGACGCACAGGGTTAAAACGCTGTCTGTGACTATGAATCATTTGTACGCCTCCGTAGTCCTGTAATGAAATATGAGGATGGTGATATTGGTGCGTGATACACTGAGTCATTCTGCTGATACGTAGCATAGGAGGACCGATACTTCATGTTCTCTCAGGTTCCCTGCTGAAGCTTCACCCAACAACTGCAGAATCCTCCTTGCCAGTATTCCTTCCGCTTCCTAGGATTTTTTTTCCACGTCTGTATTTATTCTATTCTCTTTCTCCTTGCAAGTAATTCGGCCATGGTTTTTATTTGTCTGTCTTTGGTTACCATCTGGCAGAGCCTGGAGGTACAGCAGGAGTTGAATTACAATACTGGGAGTTTGAAAAGTCATTGCAAAATACTTTTGTTAAAGTAATTTGTTGTTCTGGTAAGGCCTGGTCAAACTCTTACATCAGTTAATACACCGTGAAGCTGCAAGAAAACCTTTTTAATCATTCTGCAAATTAGGGAAAGCAGTAGGGAGAGTGACAATCACAAGCTCTTCGGAATCCTAAATCTGAGCTTGTTAATGTCATCGCATGCTGTCGTTAACTACTGCAAAAATATTCAGCTAAATGATTAAAAACTACCTATGGTTGGATAAAAAAATAAGTTGTGTAATAGCAAAGCTATGTGAATGCTTTATGCGTGTATTGAAGAGTTTCACTAAGTGGTACTTGAAATATTAAATCAAACTACGTTTTGTAAAGTACCTTGACTACTTTACTTTATTTTTTTATATCACTGTCATTAACAAAGTGGTCCTACGTCAAGCATTTGAATAAGTCGTACTATTAACAGCCTGTTCATCTGCAGAAACGTTGCTGCTAAGCTAGCAGGAAGACCCAGATTGAACTTGTTCAGTAAGTTGCTGACATCCTAGTGGAAAATTCAGGTTCACAGTGCAAAAATCTTCCTCGTATTAATCATTAAAGCAAGATCATTTGTGCTCCAAACATGGGAGCAGCTTGAGATCTTGTCTGTCAGAGGCTTTAATAACTGCAGTGACACAGGTGTTGTGATGGGTAGAAGAAATTCTTTTGAAAGATACAAAAGACGTTTATTTCAATTTTGCATTTCTGTCTGGGACTTTGAATTTAGTTTAGGAAATTGTAGTGACAGCCTATGCAGTTATGTTGTCTTTGTTTCTAATGAGGAGATTGCCAAGCCAACTCGCTTCGCGGTTCTCTCTGTTCTCAGTCGTAAAATTGCAAGGGGGAAGATTGTGGCTGTATGATACAATTAATATATGCACAACTGTTTATTTTCCCGTGTTTTTTTAAAAAAAAAAAAGTTTAGTAAAACTTCTTGCCAAGAATGGGTTTCGTAGTTACTAACCAGAACCATTTTGGGCACTGGGCTGGTCTGAAAGATTTTTAAAAAAAATCCAGAAGGGGAAGAAAACCCCCCCGAACTCCAACCACTTCCATCTTGGCTGTTTTGAAAAATGTTTGCACAGTTTGCAGAGTTAAGTTCTTTCTTGACTCATACATGACGTTATCTGCTTTCGGTTTGTTTGTTTTGAAGGTAACTTTGTGAGAACCATTTTGCAGCCCGCTATAAGGTTAATGGAGCGTAAAGCTGCTGTTGTGAATCCAGAAGAAGGAGCAGGACACGATTTCCAGTGTTCTGCAGAAGCCGTTGGATTAGGTGGTTCTCTTACAAACCTCGCAGCTGTCGAAGATGCTTCCAAAGGCTGGCCAGCCAGTGCTGGCAAAACAAACGATATGGAAACACCACACCAGGGAGAAGATGCGGAATTTTCTTTTCTAATAGTAAACACTAAAGAAAGAGACAAGCAACTTTTTGTGGATCTAGGTAAATATAAGAAGTGATTTTTAACCTCTTTGGAATGCAACAAAGGTTAAGAAATTGGATGTTCCTTAATGTTTGATTACAGACAGTAAGAACAACAACAACGTTCTTATTGTTGTCCCTACGATCAGAATTTAAACCAAATACAGTATGTGCTGAAACTGTAATCATAAATGCTGTACTTTGAAGGAGCCTCAGATTTTTGGTCCATGGAAGTTCTTATATTCCATTTAATTATTTTGTTCTGAAGTTTGAAGAAACTCTTGCCACACAAGACTCTAATTAATTTTGTTCTTAAGGACTTAGTGCTCCTATTTGGATTAAAAGAGGATAGCATATATTGCATTTTTGTCATTTCAGTTGAATTAGAAGTTGCTTCATTATGGAACAAGTCTCACAGGTGTGGCCTTCGGTATTGTTCTACACGTATGAATCGAGCCTTCTTCCCCCGTCTGCAATGGCAGTTGTTAGGTTTTAATGACAGAGTAATAGACATTTTGGGCTGGGCACTTCATGCCCCAGTTGTGCTTAGCCTCTTCATAAGTATTAAAGTGCCCAAAATCTCCAGGAGCACAGCAGCCATAGGCAACCTAAAGTTTGACTGTTCCACCCTTCTCCATCCCTGCATCTGGTTCCTCTGCTTTTTGCCCCATCTCAGTGAAATGAAAATAGTGTAGCATGGCTTTGTGTGCTTTTTGTGTTTTAGCGTTATGTGCTTGAGGACTGTTCCGTGTTTTTCTCAGACTTCTTTGAAGAACTCCCACTTCTTCAAATTCTTCTCATGGAGTTCAGGATCGCTTTTATTGCTGGCCTCTTCAGGATGTCCCATTTGTTGAAACGTAACCCCAAAGTTGTCCCTGTGTGAGGCTTCTGCGTTACTGATTCAGAAGGATGACTTTGCACCTATTGTTCAAAATTCCTTCAAGCATATTCGTGAATGGAAATTAAGAAACCCCAAATTGTTTACTGTGTCACTTCACCTTTTAAGAATTTGATGTTAGTCCCCCAAAATTAACCATCCTCAATATTTATGTTACATACATTACCTCAAAACTGGAAGGCTAAAATCAAAATAGCTGGAATACCGAGTTACATCATGAGGCTGCAGTGATAGAAAGGGATGTGACGTTCGCGCTGTATGACGTCTTTTAATTCTTTTATCTCCATGAAAATTCAGTGTGACCCACAAATAACGCGCCCACCTCCTCAAGACATTCATAGACAAGATGAGGCAACGTTTACGATACCTGTTCATTTCTTTCTTTGTTTTTGAGATTGGCAAGGAGTTTTCCTGGTACATACTTCACAGTGAACCACACACAAGTGGTGTCTGGTACACAAAACCCGGGAAATTTGATGAATATGAAGTACTTGCTGCTTACAATAATTGTGTAGCTTTTTATGCTCAGCTGTATTTCACAAAGTTAATGCAAAACCACTGGTATTTTGTACTGGAAGAAACTTTTAGCAATTACAATGTCAAAAGGATTAAAATGCCTATGTAGAAGCGTTGAGTGTTTGTCTTAATCCTTCTATAACATAAAAACGTACATGTGCGCGTGATCTTGCTTTGTTGGGTTTCTTCTATGGGAGGTGAGCTGAAGTCAGTAAGAGTTTTTGTCCGTTGTTTAATTTACAAGCACTAAGTACCTTAAATCCTAGCCAGCGTTGTTATGTTAAGAAATGCTTGTTTTCCTGCAGGAGTTTATACAAGGAATAGAAATTTCCGGATGTATAAATCATCAAAAGCAGGAAAAAATGTGATTCTGAAGATAGCAGAGGATAACAAGTTTGTCCCTAATTGTGAAGAGAATGTTTCCTTGGAAGAAGCATACTTTCTTTCCTCTTTGATCTGCAACATTAGGTAATTGTTTCATTCTAGTGGAATTTAAAATATCTTTAAATACATGTTTCAGTGATTTGTCTCCTGCAGCAGTTATGAATAATTACTATCAATGGACAGTTATTCCATGAACACTGTTATAGTGTAATTTAGGAGTTTCCAGTAGAATTCCTTGTTTCTGAAGAAAAAATTTCTTGGGACTACTTCCCGCTGGTACGGCTTCTGAGTTGTGCCTCGTTTCTCTGTACACACTCAAAATGCTGAAATGTAACCGTTATTAAGTTTGCTCGGATTCTGTATGGTTCTGAAAGGAAAAATTACAGATTTCCAGTCAATTAAATACAAAGAGTCTAAATATTTTCCAAAGCAAGATAAAAAAATAAAAAGGATTTTTGTACTTGTTTACTTGCATACCAGATTTCCCGTTTGGTGCAGATACCTCCTTAGGCTGGATGCTGGTACGTATAATAATCAACTTTTCTGCATCTAATCTAAACCTCCCACCTATCGTGCCCTGCACTGACTGTATCTTAAGATGATCCTAATCGTTACTGCAGCAGAAAGAAGGTTAAAGTGGTACCTCCGTCTGTATGATATTATGTATAATATTTTTATTACAAACATATATTTGTTGTGACTTCAGTTTTTATATCCTGAAATGTTCATGGTCTTGAACTGATGCCAGTGGTCCTGTAGCATCCACTGTGTGGTGTATTCAGATCACGGGTATCAGCCGAGTCCGTCATAAATATGGATGAGAAATTCTGCTGCGTTGAATTTGGTCTTCTGCGATCATCTGGCTTCCAGCTAGGAATATGGCAAGGAAAAGCAGTTCATTGCAGAAGGCAAAACAAAAAAGGCTGAAACCTTTCCAAGGGTCTATAGGCATAAATATTACACCTACGGCAAATACTGCAGTGGACCAGCGGTGTTTAAATGGCCAGGTCCTGGGATTTTTGCCAGGAAACAAATTTTGCTGTTCCGAAGGAGGAAACCCTGCCCTCTGCTAGTGTAAGTCAGAGGAAACTGTCAAAATGAGAAGAAACTGTACGGATAGCGAAAGGTAGCGTGCAGGATCACAGGATGGCTGAGGTTGGCAGGGACCTCTGGAAGTCATCTGGTCCAGCCCGCCTGCTCCGGTGGGGCCACCCAGACGGTGGCCCAGGACTATGCGATGTTGTGCCACACTACGTTATGTTACAGTATGTTACACCAGACTATGTTATGCTGTAAGAATCACACATTTTCCTTTGTATTCTCTCTTTTCTTCAGAGTGAAGGATGACACAAAAGTTCTGTCATCGGGCTTTTCAGAGGAGGAGAGAAAAATGTCTGCTTTTATAAACAGTAAAACTACCAGAAGCCGTAGAGGTACCTCAAGCCTTTTCTACTGTATAGAAAAAAAAAGTACTCTTAAACAAGATGTACTGTGACTTACACACCTGGAAGCCTCTAAGAGAGCTTTTCTTCAGCTAGCTTTCTGCAGGAGGCAGAGCACAGCGGTCGTGAAGGGCGCTCTGCAGCACCTGAATGCCATGTACCCTCCTCTCCCGCTCCCAGAGCTGTCACGCTGTGTCCCAGTTCCCCCTGTACCAGAGGTGGGAGCGGTTTAAAGATCTACGGGAAATTAACACTGGATTTATCCCTGGTTTTATTTAATGATTTGGTGTGATTCACGTACATCTTCTGTCTGTGGTCTATATAAAATGTGTAACAATTACAGATTACAGTGACAAAACCAGTAACAGTACGTATCATCCGTGGTCTTTGTTTTAACAGATTCCATGGAAGGTTATCAGGATTCACCATATCCAGAAATTGATGATTTTGTTCGTTCTTTGGTTAATAAAGACGGGGTGCAAGGAGGTAAAGACCACTTTACTATTTACAAATGAGTATTCTGCAGCAGGATTTTTAAAGAATTAATTAATTAATTTTTCCTCCCCAGGGATACGACGATGGAATTATTTCTCTCTGGAAGAAATACTTATATATGATATTTCTGGTTACCGTTGGTGTGAAAATATTGGAAGAGCTCACAAAAGTAACAACATAATGTATGTTCTTTAACTATTCACTAGTCGCATTAAAACAGCTCTATTTATTTTCCTGCTCAACTGTTATTCTGTAAAAATGCTGAAAATCTCTTATGGATAGAATCAGCACCTGTTACAATTTCTGCTCTCTTGCTCTGTGGGGATACAATGCTTATTAAAAAAACCAAACCAAACCAAAAACCTCCCCCTCCCTAAATTTACTTTGTGATAACTGAACTTGTATTTCTAATATCTCTATGAAATAATCTTCATGCTATCTAAAATACGTGCCTAAAGATGCTAACATACAAGTCAGAGTATGTTAAAGCTGTTAAGCCATACTGTGCTTTGATGCTTCTTAGCTAGGCAGCTGAACAATCAGAACTAAGATAAAGAAAACAGACCACTTTTAAATCGATTTACAGTGCCCCTTACATTACATTCTTATGTTATTAAAATGACAAAGGTAACTCCTGCCACCACGTCGGTCAAGATGAGTTTTGCTAGTGACTCTACGAGGACTCGGGCTTATTACAGTTTTAGCAAAATAAGTGTTGAAAAGTCAGGGTTTTTAGATGACATTAGAATTGCAGTATATCATTAGTAGAAATATTTTAACTTCAAAATAATTGTACATAACATTTAAAATAACTGAAAGATAAGGAATGTGTTTTTGAGAAATACAGGTATTAAAAAAAACCAAACCAACCCACAGCCACTAGGCTAGATGAACTTGGTGTTTCTCAAGCAAGTTGCTTGAAGCGTGGTGTTTCTAAAGCACAGCTGAAAAGGCTGGGTTGTCTCATCAGTTGACAGGAAACAGTGATTTTTATCTGGCTTTTATAATGAAATTATCTGTAACAGCAGCAGGAACAAAATCTTGTCTTACAGTTAGCTCCCACGTACGGATCTTTCCTTAATGACTTTTTCTTCCAAGCTTAATGTAATGAAGTTAACTAAATTTCACTTTTGGATGTTAGTCTTAAAAGAAATATATTTTTAACTTAAGAGGCCTGAAGTTTATTGAGAAAATAAGACTGTACAAAAAAAAGTATGTAATAAGTATGTCAGAGTATGAAAGCAATATCCATAGATGGGGACAAACGAAACCTGTTCATTTAGCGTCAGAGTTTCCTACTGTATGCATTCACTTCATTTACGTGCTGTTACTAAAAACTAAATTCTTTCATTCTTAGGATTCTGGTAGATCTGAAGAAGGAAGTCTGGTATCAAAAGTGTCATGATCCAGTCTGCAGAGAAAACAACTTCAAATCACAAAGTACGTATTCTGTGATTTCAAAGCAATTATACTTAATACTTTTTGGAATGCTAACTTTACTTAATGCCATGTATTTGATTTAGGTTTTCCATTACCACCTGGGATATGTCTCCCTTTTCTTTTCAAAGAGGTATGTTTTTGTCCTATCGCTATGCTAAAGTTCTTGTGGGTAAAGCTGTCTCTGGAAGTCATTGAAAATCCCCACCAACGCAGCCTGTTGAGCGCCATGCAGTAGTTACGCTGGTATAGAACAGCTCCCCAGAGCAGCTGTGCTGGGGTGGTAACTCCATATATTCTTTTTTAAGTTCTCCAGCAGCAGTTCTAGCACAAACACTGTCAGCACAGATAAAGCTTAAGTTACCGGAACAGCCTAACTTCACCTGGGACTAAAGATTTTCTTCCGTTTTGGTCTGAAGAGCAGTTCCCAGTGCATAAACCAACACTGCCACTACAGGTGCAGAATGGAAAAACTGCCCAAGTTAAGCTCTGCTGTGCATGTTTGACTTCATGCTGGGCCAGCTAAAATAGAAGCGCTCCTGGAACGCTTGAGTCGGTCAGAGTCAAATTTAAGTCAGCGACCCTCAAATGTGAAGTTCACGTAACTCCATTTTAGTGTATTAAAGCAGTTATGTTTACCCACGTGGGTAGAATATTTAAACCGACCTGATACTGCACCTAGATTCTAAGCCCTGAACATAACAGTTTTTTCCACTGAGTAGGCAATAGAGTTGGCATCCTTGCAACTTTGAATTTGCACTTTCCGCTTTTATACTGTCATACTGCAGAATGGCACAGTAAGCTCTACTTAAGCAGATCATCAATAGCTCTTAGTGTTATTTCACAGAAAGCGTAATTTAAATGCATTTCCAGATCCTGACAGTATCTTTAATCAGACACTAAAATTAGTGTCTGATTAGCCTTGTATTATTTTAAGAAGCTGTACACAACAGACTACTTGTAGTTTGCTAGAAAACCAGCAAATTCCTATTCCTATGAAAGCAGGCGTCCACAGGACCGCGTGGCTATAAAGTAACCTGCTGGAAAACGTGTCGCGTTGGCCAGCTTTCTGTAGTATCCATTACATGTGACAGTATGAGTTTCAGGCTTTCAGATCAGAGCGGTTAAAGGTATGAAGACCATTTTCATATGGAACAAATAGCATTCTTGTTTCTAAAAGGAAGAAGAGTATACACTAATGGATGAAAGGGGGAATACAGGAGAAAAAGTAAAACCCCATTCTAATGCATCAGACTTGTCGAAAAGCTCGGTATCTCTGGAGAAGAGCTTGTCTCAAGACTTCCTGTTGTCAGACAGCGCGTGGGACAATGCAAGCGATGACGCCTGTTTCCTAGAAGCTACTGAAGATGTGGAACTAGCTGAAGCTGCAAATGATAGTCTGAATTATGCCATGGAAGAAATTCCTGATGAAGTTCTTTTGGAATCTTTAAGGAAACAGGACACTTGCAATAAAGGTGGCAGCTAACCAGGGACTTGGCTAGCAAACAGACCGCTAGCAATGAAACCTGCTTGCACACAACGTGCGTATCGCGTGCCGTCTGTGAAACATTGCGATGTAGTTCAAAAATGCTCTGCCAGAGCCGTAAGACAAAAAATCGAGTAAGAAACAAGCATGCCCGCAACTGGACGATCTTCGGCAAGCGTGAGGAGATCACGGAAGATTACGCGGGGGCCGAAAAGTACTGGACTGAGAACTCATCATGAATGCTACTCCAAGTTTAGCACTTCTGACGACACTCGCTGCAGTGCATTTTCTATGTTATTAGCTGTATGTCCAAGTTTTACTGATAAGCCAAGTAAAGTAGATTATTTCCAGAAATGGGAGGAAATTATTTATTTCAAATACAAATTTAATAAAAAGATTTGTCTATCAATAGTTCAACCAATGTCTATGTGTTCTCTTTTAAAAGTATATGTTGCTTTCAAGATCACGTTACTTTCACAGCCTAAGATTAAAACCCAACATGATTAACAGACCACAGGGAAGTTTTACTACTGTAACTGGAATTGCTATTTCATTCATTTCACTGACGTTCTGAGTAAGTTCTCACACAGACTATTTGACAACAGAAAGATACAATCTCTGGTTAAGTCACTGACTTCTTTTAAACATTGAAGCAAAATGCGGCAACAAGGATTAAACAAGCTTTAAGCACTGACCATTCTAATAATTGTTCCTAACGAATCTCAAAACGTCTATTAAAAACATTTAATGTTTTTTTGATAACTTCCCTCTTTGTACAGCCAGAGCCTCTTCCAGTTTCATATTGATATTCTGAAAGTGTCTTTCTGCTCCTAGAATTCTCCGCGACTCCACCAGAAGAGCGGGTAGGCTGGAAGTTCCATACTGTTGTTAAGGAAATAAAATTACATGGCAACATTTTTAACTCTTGGAAAAAATCACTTACATATCTGTATTTATTTTTCCTCTATCTGAAACGATGCAATGTGATTTTTAAAAGTGAAGAAGAGCCAACATTAGCGAGTCTCCTGAAATGATGACAGGATTTCCTTACACGTGGCAGGGGTGTAGCATTGCCAACAGAAAACACCACAGCAGGCCACGAGCCACGGTAAAAGGGGCAGGAGTTCTAAGACTACCTGAGTTCATCTGGTCATGAAATACAAGTGCTGTTCTTAGCGCTAAATACCTTACAGAACAGACACGTGAGTACCAGAGCTTTCCCTGCCTTTGAACGATAGCAACAAAAGAAACTGATTGCTTGTTTCTCACTGTTAATCTTTCTTCACTTTCTATAAAAAAAATGTTAGACCTGAGGACAATCGTTACGCTTCTATGTCCTTTGAATTCTTCCGACATAGACAGCGAGGTAGCAGAATCCTCTCTGACGTACTTTAGTTTCTAACATGAGACCAAAAAAAATGAGTGAGATACTGCAGTACAGCTACAGCAATGATTCTCAATTTGCTTCCACAAAGACAAGTAACAAAATACTGCTATTCAATGTAAGTTAAACACGAGTAGAAATGCCCATCAGTCCAGGAAAAAAAGAAGGGGGGGGGGGGGGGGGGGGAGGTCACCACAAGGAGACAACACAACGCAAA